CCTAAGATATCCCTGGAGATAATACAAATTCATCAGATGGATAGAAACCAATAAGAAGTGGAATCATGTATCTCAGCAGAGAGAAGTTGGATGCTGAAATAGTGGGTTTTGTGTACTGACCTCTCTTCCTTTGTTAAGAAGTCATCATCAACAAGTTTCTTCAGCAAAGCATACTGAATAAAATTATGAGAAAAGTTAACAGTTAACATTATATATGTTCAAACAAGGAAAATGATGACAAGATGAATGATATGTGAAATTTCTGAGATGACCAACATATAAGAAAACTAAGATGGTTATGCTGATACCAATATGAAGAAGTAATGAATTCCCATATTAACAGTGTAACGAGGTGAAACAAACAAAACTACTCCGCAAAATCATGAAACCGAACAAGCACCAATACACTATTTTCAAGAATGGAGATAACATCAAAACAGTATACAATACTGATTTAAGAAAACACAGGAGGTCAAAAGATAACAAACCTGTGCTTCACAGCGCACCACTGCTCTAACACGATCGTTATAATCTTCAATACTGAGCGGAGGGAAAAGAAAATGCCTACGAGCATATAGCTACACAACCAAGAGAAAACTATTAATGAAGTCTGATTCGCGGCAAAACTTTCTGGAAAGAAAATTGCTCATTCCAATCAAGGGAAGTCTATCAAGATTGATCCAACAAGAATTAAGAGCAAAAGCTTGCCTAAAAGCATGAAACACAAAGCTCAGATTGTAATGGAAAAAACAAACCTCAAAAATGGAATCGCCTATGAAGGCCAAAGAAGCAGCATTGAAGACTGATCTTGGTTTCTCCAACTTTGGTGGACTTGGAGACCATGTCTCATATCCCATATACGTATCATCAACGTCAACAGTTAATTCTACATATATAACACAAACAAATATTTAGTAAAAAACCATCTCTAATAGAACCAGGAATTGAAAATTTTGAGAACTCTTCTACAATTCATTAGAGTCTGGTTTATCAAACAGAGATTTGATAACGAAACATCGAAATTGAATCAAACCCGAGTTAAAGCGTCTACCTTTACTTGCGGGACGCTTGAGCAAATCAGCGACGGAGATGCTGATTCCTGGAGACGGTGGAGGTGACGGTGGTGGTAAGAATGAATTATTGTTAGGGGTTTTCTTAACTTTTCGCGGCGCATTAGGGTTGTACGGAAGTCTAGGTTGTGTATCTAAGGCAGCTCTCACGGTGGAGCTCGCCGATAAAATCACCATTTTTCTGAAGCTTCTCTTTTTTTTTTTCCGAGCACGAAACTATTTGTTCGTTTTGACAGCGGCAACGATAAGGCGGTGACGGTTCATTTATACACGTGGCGTATTATTATTCGTCTGTTAGCCTTAAGATTTATGAGGCCTCCGTCTTCTTCCAAGTAGTAAAACCCTGATGGCTAACGGTTCCGTTACATGAATGGGCTGAAATTGGGCTTTTTAATAGGTTATCAGAGCAATGTCTTCTTCTATGCATAAAGAGTGTTTATCAATTTTGGATTCTGTCTCGAAGAGAACCAAATTAATTCATTGAGAACTTGGAAGACGTTTAAGTGTTCATTTTCTTGAGCTATCCATTCTTTTTCTCACAAGGTCAAATAACTAAGATTTTTTTTTATGGAAACGTTTTAGCTAGCCAATGGTTATAGCTAGCTAACTATTACTGTCTACTTGACTCTTTGTTGGTTGATGTACGGCTAAAGGAAAATGAAGTGTAAAGCAGATTCTCCATCATGTTACTTGGACATGAAAACCTTTTAGCTTATTTTCTAGATTATGGTCACCGGAAAACTCCGAGATACTTTTTGAGGGATCGTGTATTGTTCTTCTGTAGAAAGATTTTGATTTGTCGGTTTTCCTCTTTCCTGCATTGTCATCTATGTTTGTCTTTCTCAATTTCACATACAACTACCTCTCACTCCTTTAGTGAGTAGGGGTCATTGCTTACCTGGAATTGCATTTCGGTTTTCTTTTTTCACCATTCTCTTGTCTATTCGACTAACAAATATTTTTCTGGTGAGTAAATGATTGCAATATCTCCATGTGAGAGACCCTAAGACTTGCATTTAGTGGTCCATGAATCTCCTCTGTAGTGTTTGATATCACTTGTCGACACCTATGTGAGGACCCTGCAGGTTTTACCTGTTCTTTTGTATAAGGTTAAAGTTAGAACTTTATCTCTACTTTAAAATGACAATGTTTTTTTAGCAGAGACCCACCTTCATGACATTCCCTGATAGTCTAAACTATCTACTTTTTGCTTATAATGTTTTTGTTGTCCTGTAGTAGCTGCAAAGCTGGTTTGGGGCAGATGAGCCACTATTACCATAGAAGCAACAACGAGAGCTCTTCGAATGGATGTTGGAGGCGAGAAATCTAACACCAAACGAAGAAGCGAATCAATGGTAGAGAAACCGATAACAATGCAGATTAACTTTTTACCTAAACTATGCCTTTACTCACTTATGAAGATATTCTATAGCTTTTGATTCATTTGAGTTTAATTTTGAAGCATAACTCTTGTTGATGTTAGGTTCAGTCAATGGTCATGTGGGCACTAATGAAAAACTGATTACTTACAAAGATTTGATTCCTATAGAGTTTGTTCAATTTTAACACTTCCTAACTAACAGCATATGTGTTGTTCCTTATAATATACATTGTCCATAGATCTGGCAAAAAAAAAAAACGGATAGCACAAATTTCAACGAAGGGACAAAATGTTAGTGGTTTTGCATGAATTTCATAAAGAGGACAAAGGATCATGTTCTCAGCTATCCAAAACCCTAGAGATATGTTGTGAGATCAATTGGGAAAGAAATATTCTCCAGCTCAAGTGGTTCTTCACATGAAGATATGGTCCAAATGAAAACAACCCCACAATTCCCAAAATTGTAAATAACATTGCATTTATATGTGCATATTATTTGGCTCTCATTGATTTCAAATTGTTCTTTTTATTATTCTAGTTCTATCAATTCTCTCAATCTTGGTGACTTTCTGGGGCAAGCAAATATACAAATTTACGAATACTTTAGTCAAAAACCCTCTCGGATTTCCAAAGATGCACGCCCTTAAATTAAAGACACTCATGCAATAATTAGATATGATCAAAGCACTAAATTTGTATTGTATGAATCTATCCCTTTTTCTCTTTATCAAAA